CCCCCCCCACCCTTCTCTCTCTCATGTTTCATCTCCTTTGACTTAACCAAATTTCAGAAGATGTGGGGAAGAAGACGACTTTCCCTTGTTTCTTTTGCATTATATATTTCCTTTTGTCTGCATTCGATGTGGATTTAGTTCGTAGCGAAGGCTCATTGGTACTGATCAAGAACTTCTGCATTTTCCTCGCAGAATTCACAATGTTATAGTCTTGTTTTGTCTGTATATATAGAAATGTATACAGCCTTGAAGACAGTTGCTTCCCCCCTGTTCTCGGTGCTTAATTATGTTGCCAAAGTTTCCTTCTTGCAGCCGAAACGGTCATATTGGCGTTTCAGAACTACATTCTGATGCTGGGTTCAAGTGTTTTCATACCCTCCATGCTCGTTCCTGCCATGGGCGGAACTGATGTAAGCTTAGTTTCCTCCTTCGTCACATACCATATGGTCTTTACTCTTCCATGGAATTCTGTACTTTAGGCATTTTTTGGTCATTCTGATCTGTTCTTGAAAAGGGTAATGTGACATATATCAGTGTCTGAATCTTATGGATCTCGGTAATCAATAGGGGGACAAAGCCAGAGTTATACAGACGCTGCTCTTCGTAGCTGGTATCAAGACACTTCTCCAGGCGCTTTTCGGTACTAGGTTGCCCGCCATTGTCGGAGGCTCGTATGCTTATATCGTGGTGATCGTTTACATCATAAACGACTCATCGTTACAAAGGATCTCCAACGACCATGAAGTAAGTACTTGGATGACAAGTTTTTTGTTTTTCAACGGTTATTACCAGTTTGGTCGCTTCTGTTACCTCAATGGGAATTCCCGACAGAGATTTCATGGTGTATGATTGGATCGCAGAGATTTATTCACACGATGCGAGCCATACAAGGAGCAATGATCGTAGCCTCGAGCATACAGATCATCCTTGGCTACAGCCAAGTATGGGGTCTTTTTTCAAGGTGACTTTTGTTTTTACCCTTTAGAAACAATTTCAGTAGCTCCATGTTCAGCTGTAATGTAGCTTCATGACTTGTTTTTTTCCTGGTTTTCGCTTTCAGGTTTTTCAGTCCTTTAGGTATGGCACCTGTGGTCGGATTGGTTGGTCTCGGCCTGTTCCAAAAAGGGTTTCCCCTGGTAAGACTTTAAGTTCATGCAGAGGACTTTGTTTGCTAAAAAAGGTTAACAGGTTTTATGTGATTTAATCTTACCCTTTTCGGATTTCCAGCTCGGGAGCTGTGTTGAAATCGGGTTGCCGATGCTATTGTTGGTTATAGGACTAACCCAAGTAAGCTATGTGTGGTTTGGACCCGTCCCTGCTTGCTATACAGAAGTTCTATATCTTTTACTTATGGTTTTCTGTGGTGTGTTTCGGGTTTTGCAGTATCTGAAACATATCAGACCATTCAGAGATATCCCGATCTTTGAGAGATTCCCGATACTGATCTGCGTCACAATTGTCTGGATTTATTCCGTTATCCTAACCGCGAGTGGAGCTTACCGAGGGAAGTCACTGAAAACACAAACCAGTTGCCGCACAGACAGAGCAAACCTTATATCAACAGCTCCATGGTACTACACTTCAGACAGAAACAACTCGGTTTATGTTTCTTCATCCTTCACTTCTCACAGATCTTGAAACTCCTTGATGTTTCTTTACGTTTTCGTCAGGTTCAAGTTTCCATACCCGTTGCAATGGGGTCCGCCCACGTTTTCAGCTGGCCATTCCTTTGCTATGATGTCTGCTGTTCTTGTTTCCATGGTCGAGGTCGATCTCAAGTCTTGGCATGAAAACAAACTCGGGTTTTCCACATTTTCCGATCCATTTTCTTACGGTATACATTTGTTAAACTCGTTGCAGTCCACTGGAGCTTACATGGCTGCTTCTAGATTAGCCATAGCCACACCTCCTCCAGCTTATGTATTGAGTAGAGGCATCGGGTGGCAGGTGAATGAATACATATCCATAGAAGCAAAATCTTCTGCATATCGATTCTAAAAGAAAATGCTTTACAAGGTTTTGTCTGATGTGCTTTTGTCTCGTGAAAACCAGGGTATAGGTGTATTGCTCGACGGGCTATTCGGGACAGGAACAGGCTCTACAGTTTTAATGTAAGTAACTGCCTCTCTCTTTCTTTCACATGTACACACACAGAGACAGACAGACATTGTGAAAGATATGGTGGTGCTTATGAATCTTACACGACATGGGTGTTGCAGAGAAAATGTAGGATTGCTAGGGTTAACACGGGTGGGAAGTCGCCGAGTTGTTCAAGTATCTGCAGGATTCATGATTTTCTTCTCTACATTGGGTAATCTACCACTTTTTCAAGTTTCCTTTTCCATTACAACAGAGAGAAGACTGTTAAATCTATGCAAAGAATTCATGTTTTGAGGTGTCTTTGACAGGAAAATTCGGGGCTGTTTTCGCATCCATACCACTCCCGATATTTGCGGCTCTATACTGTATCCTCTTCGGGCTCGTGGGTATGATTTTGAACATCGATTTCTTCACATCGTCTTTATTTTGCGAAACACTCGTCCATTAGTTTCTTTATGCAATCTTCCTCCGCCAACTCCAACTCCATTTTCTTATGCAGCTGCTGTAGGAATCTCCTTCCTTCAGTTCACCAACATGAACAGCATGAGAAATCTCATGGTGACCGGTCTCTCACTCTTCCTTGGAATCTCCATAGCTCAATTCTTTGATCAGTACTGGGATCCTAGACACCATGGCCTTGTCCACACCAATGCTGGATGGGTCAGTCACTTTCAAAGAAACCTCGTCTCTGCCCATTCTTTTGGTTTCCAGTCTCTAAACTCTGAACGATCATGACCTCACCGGTTTTCCTGTCTCCGTTTCAGTTCAACGCATTCTTGAACACGATATTCATGTCGCCGGCGACAGTGGGTTTGATCGTTGCGGTGTTTTTGGACAACACGTTGGATGTGGAGAAGTCGAAGAAAGACAGGGGGATGCCATGGTGGGTGAAGTTCAGAACTTTCAGAGGAGACAACCGAAATGAAGAGTTCTACACTTTGCCCTTTAACCTCAACAGATTCTTCCCTCCTACGTAACTCCAAAGGAAAAATGGTCTGAATACTCTCAAAAATTATCAAAAGCTTCAATCTTTTTTTTTCTCCCCATTTCTTTTGGTACAGAGCGGATGGTAGAAGCTGAACTGGCGAAATCATGGTTTTGGGTTCGGTCGGATTTGATTTTTTGTGGCCATTGATGGTCGGAATTGTAGTATGTAGGTCAATTCAATCATGGGTTCTTTATGTAGATTCAAATAAAGATCGAAAATTTCATATGAAATTCCAGATTTACAGCCAGATTCAACAGAAACCCACTTCAGATTTCATCCAGCATCGTTTCACAAGCGCTGTTTCGAATACCAACAGTCCAAGATTCCCTTTCTGCATTTGCCATTTTACAGTTACATCCAATATCTTGTACTTCCACAAATGGTTGGAAACCACGCAATTTCGTCTGTATTATTTGAAACTCCTTTCCATCTGGTCCTCTTTAGAATCCGATACCCTTAATGATAGTTTCCATTAATATAAAGTTGATTAAAGATACGGTTTGTGTTCAGAAGCCTCAGAAAGCCAGCTAGTTTTGACATCAAATTAATAAATTTCAGACGGTAATTCCATCTCTTAGCAATGAATCATCACTGGCTTCTCAAAATCCAAAGTTACTGGCAAAAACGCAATGAAATCAAGATTTGTAAAACGAGAAAACAATGTAATCGCCCAAATCGGCTCCGTAGATCACAAAAAAATCAGATCCACAGATTCCTATCAGCAAGCGAAACATAAAGACATTTGTCTCTGTCCGATCATAGCATCGTCGGTCATTGAACAAAGCTATCGGCGACGTGGCATCGGACAAAAAATCAAAGAAACCCAGGGATCAAATTCTCAAACTTTTCCAAAACCCAACAAAACCCATAATTCAAAATACATAATTTCTCTAAAGAAAGATTGGAAAATTTTTCAATTCCCTCAGGGGACCCGTTTCAAATCACCCACACAGCGGAAAAACATGAACGGCACGGTGGTTTCCAGGCCGTTCAGGGTAACTCGGACCAGGAGATTCGGATCGGGTTAGGATTCGAACACTGGGTCAGACACTGACCGGTGGATTGGAAAATCCAACACGATGCCATCCTTGTCGGCTTCCGCTGCGGATTAAAGTGTCATACGGCACTTCCTATCAAATGGGATTGCTTCCTCACTGGGAAAATAATTTTCCAGAAACCTTGACGACAGACATCGAACGAGAACGAGAATGACAAAAAACAGAGAAAAGATTTGAAGAGATGACAAATGGTTCGAATCATCGAGTGGAAG